CCCCGTGCGCCCATCGGATCCGTTATTAAATAAAAAGATTGATTTAAACAGTTTAAAGTCCTTAAAAAGCTGTGTTGGGGTGGAGGGGAGGGCTGGCTGCCCTGGCGAGCTGGACCCGGCTAGGAGAAGATGTGGATGGCTTGCGTGGCAGGAGTGTGGCAAGCAGGACACTCGGGCTCGGCTTTGCCGCAGATGCGCATGGCACACTCCATGCAGAAGAGGTTGTGGCCGCAGGGTACCAAGGCGGCGATCACCTCGCTCTCAAAGCACACCATGCACTCGCGGGAGCTCTTGCGGTGCCCGTCGGAGCTGCTGGAGTCGGTGGGCGAGCCCGAGGCGGCGGAGATGCTGCCGGGCAGGGAGGAGGAGGAGGAGTAGCCGGTACTGTTGGAGAAGGAGGACAGCGAGCCTTGGGTGGGCAGCCAGGACAAGGTGCTGACGGGGTCGCTCTGGATGCGGCGCGCTAAGGGGTGGTCCAGGGCCACGCCGCCGCTCTCGGGGAGGGTGGGCGAGTGGCGCGGCGTGGCCGTGCCGCTGTTGCGTCTCTGCGAGCCGTTGATGGAGGAGCAGCTGCTAAAGGCTTGCAAGGGGTTGCCTGAGCGCTCGAAGGGTGACCAGATGGTGGTGGGTGTCGTGAGGTCGAGGGCCAAGAAGTCGAAGCCGAAGTCGCACTCCTCCGAGCCCAGAGGGGCCGGGGGCTCGCTGAAGGTGAAGCCGCTGCTGGTGCTGTAGGGGCTGGTGGGGCTGGCGTCCGCCACCCGCCCGCTGTAGTAGGACTCAGTGGAGGCGCTGCCTAGGGAGCCGAGGCTGTCGTTGCGGAGGGCGGCCGAGGGGCGGCGGGCAGGGTGGGGGGCTTTGGCCCACAGGCTGGCCGTGCTGCCCTGCAGGTCGAGGCAGACATCAGTGCCGTTGGAGTGGAAGTCGTTGTCGGCATTAACGTCGATGAAGGAGCCTGTCCTCATGGTGATGTGCGCCTCAATCTCCTCCCTAGCCCGGTCCACGTTCTCGGGCATGCCTGTCACCTCGAAGACAGGCTCCTTGTCCCTGCTGGGCGTCACAATGTAGGTGTGCGTCTGCTGCTGGATCCGCTTGATGGTGGCTCCCTTGGGCCCCACCACCAGCCCCACCACACGGTACGGGACCCTCACCTGGATGGTGGTCTGTCCCGGCAGGTTGGGGGGCCCCTGCATCGCTCCCGTCAGCCCGTTCACTTTGTTGCGCGTCGCTCGGATCATGGAGAAGTGCTCAGCGGCCGAGAGGATCTCCCTTTTCGCCATCTCCACGTCCTCCTTCCTCCCAGTCACGATGAAAACGGGCTCCTCGCCCCTGACCGGCGTCTTGATGTACGTGTTGGTCTTGGCGCGTAGGGCTTTGATTTTGCAGCCTGCAGAGCAAGGAGAAGGGGGGGAAAAAAAAATGACATGTCAAAGCTGAGACCTCGTGGGGACCCCCTGCTCACCCAGGACGGGGAGATGCAGGACCAGCAGGTCCCTTTGGTTCTGCACCTGCAGCACAGACACTCTTGGAGAGA